TTTTTTAATGATTTTACTTCAAGTTCTGGGTTACATGTGCAGAACGTGCAGGTTTGTTACATAGGTATACACGTGCCATGGTGATTTGCTGCATCCATCACCCTGTCATCTACATTAGGTATTTCTCCTAATGCTATCTCTCCCCTAGCCCCCAACCCCTGACAGGCCCTGGTGTGTGATGTTTCCCTACCTGTGTCCATGTGTTCTCATTGTTCCACACTTACTTATGAGAACATGCGATGTTTGGTTTTCTGTTCTTGTGTCAGTTTTTCTTTATGCAGTCTATCATTGATGGGCATTTGGGTTGGTTCTAAGTCTTCCCTTTGTGGCAATTGTGAATGGGAGTTCACGCATGATTTGACTCTCTGTTTGTCTGTTATTGGTGTATAGGAATGCTTGTGATTTTTGTACATCGATTTTGTATACTGAGGCTTTGCTGAAGTTGCTTATCAGCTTAAGGAGATTTGGGGCTGAAATGATGGGGTCTTCTAAATATACAATCACAACATCTGCAAATAGAGACAATTTGACTTCCTCTTTTCCTAATTGAATACTCTTTATTTATTTTTCTTGCCTAATTGCCATGGCCAGGACTTCCAATACTATGTTGAATAGGAGTGGTGGGAGAGGACATCCTTGTCTTGTGCCAGTTTTCAAAGGGAATGCTTCCAGTTTTTGCCCATTTAGTATGATATTGGCTGTAGGTTTGTCCAAAATAGCTCTTATTATTTTGAAATATGTTCCAGGATACCTAGTTTATTAAAAGTTTTTAGCATAAAGGGCTTTTGAATTTTTCAAAGCCCTTCTCTGGATCTATGGAGACAATCATTTGGTTGTTGTGTTTGGTTCTGTTTATGTTATGGATTATGTTTATAGATTTGCATATGTTGAACTGGTCTTGCATCCCAGGGACAAAGCCAACTTGACTGTGATGGATAAGCTTTTTGATGTGCTGTTGGATTCAGTTTGCAGGTATTTTATTGAGGATTTTTGCATCAATGTTCATCGTGGATACTGGCCTGAAATTTTCTTTTTTAGTTGTGTCTCTGTGAGGTTTTGGTATCAGGATGATATTGGTCTCATAAAATGAGTTAGTGAGGATTCCCTCTTTTTTTATTGTTTGGAATAGTTTCAGAAGGAATGGCACCAGCTCCTCTTTGTACCTCTGGTAGAATTCGGCTGTGAATCCATCTGGTTCTGGACTGTTTTTGGTTGGTAGGCTATTATTGCTGCCTCAATTTCAGACCTTGTTACTGGTCAATTCAGGGATTCAAATTCTTCCTGGCTTGGTCTTGGGAGGGTGTAAATGTCCAGGAATTTATCCATTTCTTCTAGATTTACTGGTTTATTTGCATAGAGGTGTTGGTAGTAATCTTGGTGGTAGTTTGTATTTCTGTGGGATCAGTGGTGATATCCCGTTTATCATTTTTTATTGCATGTATTTGATTCATCTCTCTTTTCTTCTTTATCAGTCTGGCTAGTGGTCTATCTATTTTGTTGGTCTTTAAAAAAAAACCAACCACTGGATTTATTGAAGGGTTTTTTTGTGTGGGTTTCTGTCTCCTTTGGTTCTGCTCTGAGCTTAGTTATTTCCCATCTTCTGCTAGCGTTTGAATTTGTTTGATCATGCTCCTCTAGTTCTTATAATTGTGACATTAGGATGTCGATTTTAGATCTGGGTGTCAATTTTAGATCTTTCTTCCTTTCTCTTGTGGGCATTTAAAGCTATAAATTTTCCTCTAGAAACTGCTATAAATGTGTCCCAGAGATTCTGGTATGTTGCATCTTCAGTCTCATTGGTTTCAAAGAACATATTTATTTCTGCCTTCATTTAGTTATTTATTTATCCAGGAGTCATTCATGAGCAGGTTGTTCGGTTTCCATGTAGTTGTGTGGTTTTGAGTGAATTTCTTAATCCTGAGTTCTAATTTGATTGTGCTGCAGTCTGAGAGACTGTTTGTTATGATTTCTGTTCTTTCACATTTGCTGAGTAGTGTTTTACTTCCAGTTATCTGGTCAGTTTAGAATAAGGGCTATGTGATGCTGGAAAGAATGTATATTCTGTGGATTTGCAGTGGCAAGTTCTGTAGATGTCTGTTAGGTCCCCTTGGTGCAGATCTGAGTTCAAGTCCTGGATATCCTTGTTAATTTTTTGTCTCATTGATTTGTCTAATATTGACACTGGGGTGTTAAAGTCTCCCACTGTTATTGCATGGAAGTCTAGATAAGTCTAGATAATGACTTTTGTAGGTCCTTAAGAATTTGCTTTATGTATCTTGGTGCTCCTGTATTGGGTGCATATTTATTTAAGATAGTTAGCTCTTCTTGTTGCATTGATTCCTTTACCATTTTGTATGTCTCCTTTGATCTTCATTGGTTTAAAGTCTGTTTTTATCAGAGACCAGGATTGTAACCCCTGCTTTTTTTTTGCTCTCCATATGCTTGGTAAATCTTCCTTTATTTTGAGCCTATGTGTGTCTTTGCATGTGAGATGAGTCTCCTTACAGCACACTGGTGGGTCTTGACTCATTATCCAATTTCCAGTCTGTGTTTTCTGATTGGGGCATTTGGCCTATTTACATTTAAGGTTAATATTGTTATGTGTGAATTTGATCCCACTATTTTAATGCTAGCTGGTTGTTTTGCCCATTAGTTTACGCAGTTTCTTCATAGTGTCGATGATCTTTAAAATTTGGTATGTCTTTGCAGTGGCTGGTACTGGTTGTTCCTTCCCATGTTTAGTGCTTCCTTCAGGAAGTCTTGTAAGGCAGGCCTGGCAGTGACAAAATCTCTCAGCAGTTGCTTGTTCATAATGGAATTTATTTCTCCTTCACTTAGGAAGCTTAGTTTGGCTGGATATGCAGTTCTGGGTTGAAAATTATTTTCTTTAAGGATGTTGAATATTGGCCCCCCTACTCTTTTCTGACTTGTAGGGTTTCTGCCAAGAGATCTACTGTGAGTCTGATGGGCTTCTCTTTGTGGGTAACCCAACCTTTGTCTCTGGCTGTCCTTAGCATTTTTTTCTTTATTTCAACCCTGGTGAATCTGGCAATTATGTCTCATGGGGTTGCTCTTCTCAAGGAATATCTTTGTGATATTCTCTGTATTTCCTGAATTTGAATGTTGGCCTGCCTTGCTAGGTGGGGGAAGTTTTCCTGTATAATATCCTAAAGAGTGTTTTTCAACTTGGTTTCCTTCTCCCCATCACTTTCAGTACACGGATCAAATGTAGATTTGGGCTTTTCACATAATCCCATATTTCTTGGAGGCTTTATTCATTTCTTTTCACTCTTTTTTCTCTAATCTTGTCTTCTCACTTTATTTCATTGAGTTGATCTTCAATATCTGATATCCTTTCTTCTGCTTGATCAATTTGGCTTGTGTATACCTCATGAAGTTCTTGTCCTGTGTTTCTTAGTTCCATCAAGTCATTTGTGTTCTGCTTAATGCCAGTTATTCTAGTTAGCATTTCATCTAGCCTTTTTTTAAAGATCCTAGCTTACTTGCATTGGGTTAGAACAGGCTCCTTTAGCTCAGAGAAGTTTATTACCACCTTCTGAAACCTCCTTCTGCCCATTTGTCAAATTTGTTCTCCATCCAGTTTTGTTCCCTTGCTGGTGAGGAGTTATGATCCCTTGGAAGAGAACAGGCTTTCTGGTTTTTGGAGATTTCAGCCTTTTTGCACTGGTTTCTTCCCATCTTCGTGGATTTATCTACCTTTGGTCTTTTAAGTTGGTGACCTTTGGATGGGGTCTCTAAGTGTACTTCCTTTCTGTTGATGTTGAAACAATTTTGTTCTGTTTGTTAGTTTGCCTTCAACAATCAGGCCCTTCTGCTGCAGGCCTGCTGGAGTTTGTTGCAGGTCCCCTCCAGACCCTGCTTGCCTGGGAATCACCCACGGGGGCTGCAGAACAACAAAGAATGCTGCCCCTTCCTTCCTCTGGTAGCTTCATCCCAGAAGGGTACCCACCAGGTGCCAGCCAGAGCTCTCCTGTATGAGGTGTCTCCCAGTCAAAATACACAGGGGTCAGGGAGCCACTTGAGGAGGTAGTCTGTCCCTTATCAAAGCTCAAGAGCAGTGCTAGGAGATCTGTTGGGCAGGGACTTTTGAGTCTGCTAAAGCTGAACCCATAACTGCCCTTTTTCCCAAGTGCTCCTTTCCAGGAATGCGAGGCTTTATTTATAAGCAACAGACAGGCTGCTGCCTTTTTTCAGAAATGCCCTGTCCAGCAAGAAGGGAGTCTGGTGACAGTCTGCCTGCAGAGGCCTTGCTGAGCTGCTGTGGGCTTCACTCAGTCATTGTGTAAACTTCCCAATGACTTTTTGTATACGAGTGAGGTTAAAACCACCTATACAAGCCTCAGCAATAGCAGTCGTCCTTCCCCACACCAAGTTTGAACGTCCCAGGTTAAGCTCAGACTGCTGTGCTGGCTGCAAGAATTTTAAACCAGTGGATCTTAGCTTGCTGGTCTTCGTTGGGGTGGGACTTGCCAAGCCAGATCATTTGGCTCCTTGGCTTCAGCCTGTTAGGGTAACAGCAAAGCAAGCCCATAGACCCCTTCCCTGTTCTCCCCTAAGCTAAGCTCATAACAAAAACAGCCTCAAGGCTTATAAACAGAGGAGCTAGGTTCCAGGATGTGGTCGCACCTGGCTCTCAAACCCAGGATGTAACCCAGTTAAGCAGAATGTCAGCCCTTAAGAACCAAGATGCGGTTTTGTTTTTGTTGTTGTTGTTTTTTTTTGTTTTGTTTTGTTTTTTTAGAATAGCACCTGGCTACCTACAAACCCCCTATATAACCTCCATGGGCTGTAAGCCAGGCTGCAGCCTTCACTGCCTGGGGTGAGGCAGCAGCCTGGCAGGTTGAAATAAACTTGCCAAACCTGACCCTAGGTCTGCCTCTCCATCCTTTCAGTCAGCCTTACATTTTGGAACCAAAACCCAGGACAGGAGTAGGTGCTGGACACTCTTTCTCTCTCTCTTTCCCTGCTCCCATGCCTAGCTCCCCCATCCTGAACCCCTTTCCAGACAAAGGAGGGAAACCCCAGACCTCCATTGCCAACTGTGGTTATCTCCATCCAAATCATCACTTCCTGAACGGTAAGTTGGATAGTAGAGGTTTGCCTTTGTTTGTTTGGGTTCCTCAACAGTCCATTTTCTGTCCGAAAGTCCCAGCACTCCAAGGACACCCTGTTTTGGGGACGCCTAATTCAACAGCCACTGTTCCAAATTCACCGTCTTAGGTAAAGGAAACAGGAGAGGATGCTCTCTCCTGTCTTCCTTCTCCTCAGCAGCCTCCTCCTCTTCCAGCCTTTTACCATGGGGTCCAGCCACTCCGTTCCGTCTAAAACTACCCCCTTAGGATGTCTCCTCTGGAATCTGGACACCCTTGGTCTCCAGTCTGCAGTCAAGTCCCAAAAATTAATTTTCTATTGTAATATGGCCTGGCCCAAATATAAATGAGATAATGGCTCTCAGTGGCCTGAAAATGGTACTTTCAATTTCAGCATTTTCTGGGACCTTAACAACTTCTGCCACTGCAATGGTAAATTGTCTTGGGTTCCTTGTGTTCAGGCTTTCTTTACCCTCTACAATCGCCCCTCTGTCAGTCCTGCTCCACTTTCCAAATTCTCCTTGCCTGCTCATAACCCAACTCAACCCGCCCCCAGCTGCAGCTGGCAGACAATATGTCCTCTTTTGACCCAGCTGACTTCTCTCTACCCCACACCTGTTCCTGGCATCCCCCGCAGCCAGCTCCCTTACTCCCCCTTCTAGAAGTGGTGGAAATGGAAGGCATTGTCCACGTTCATGTCCCCTTCTCCCTAGCCAATCTCAAAATGTGCCTCAGGTTCTCCTCCTCCAATCCAAACACTTACATCAAAAAATGTAAATATCTTACCCAGTGTTAAGAACTCACTTTGCATGATCTCTCTATTATCCTCTCTTCTACCCTCCTTCCGAAAGAAAAGGAAAGAGTGTGGCTCACAACACAGGCACATGCAGACAGTCTTCAAAGGCAAGATCTGATTAAGCACATAGAAGCCACCGCCATCCCAGGAATACCAGCCCACAGATCCAGGCTGAGTGTCCTACAACTATGTAATTACTTCCCTTATTGCAGGCCTTAACAACAAAGCTGCCCATAGGCCGTTACTTTTTTAAAAACTCAAATTTCCCAGAAGGCAGACCAAATTCTTGCCCAGTTTCTTTCCCACCTTACAGAGGCCCTCCAAAAATACACCCATGTTAATCCTGCCCTGGAAAAGGCACCATAGTCCTTAACACTCCTTTGGTCTCCCAGTCTGTTTCAGACATCCAGCACAAACTTAAAAAGGCTGCAGATGGCCCTCAAACCCCACAGCAAGACCTCCTTAACCTGGCCTTCAAGGTCTTCAATAACAGGGATGAACAAATTAGAACAGACAAAGCCAAAAGAGATTGTGCTAAATACCAGCTTCTAGCAGCAGCCATTTGCCAGCCTAAATAGCCTGACTGTGGCACCCAGGGGCACAAAAGACACAATAGCAGTGCACCTCCAAGGGCATGTTTCAAGTACAGCAAGGAAGGCCATTTGGCACAGGCATGTCCCAATCCATGGGCACCAAAAAGCCCTTGTCCCATCTGCCATTAGATAGGCCACTGGAAGTCTGACTTTCCTATCAGACAGACAGAAAAGCCTGTACCTCCAGCCCGCATGCCCTTCACCAAGACAAAGATGAAGAATAACTTGAACTCCCATAGCTTACTGGCTTAGCCGCTGAAGACTGATGGGGCCCACGGCCCCCGGCCCCATCTGCCATCACTGCATTGGAGCCCAGGGTAACTCTGTTAGTAGCAGGTAAGCCAGTCTCTTTTTAAATCAATACCAAGGCCACCTACTCGGCTTTACCTGAATTTTCAGGACGAACTCATCCCTCACAGGTCTCAGTTGTGGAGGAAGATGGACTCATCTTATGTCCACAGGCCACCAGACCCCTTACTTATTCCTTATGTATTAGCATTTTCTCACACTCTTTCCTTATCATGCCTCACTGTCCTACTACTCCCATTCTAGGCAGGAACCCCCATGAATAATTGTCCCCTTATTTATCAACAACTCCTCCAAGCTGCATACCTCTGCCGAGGATGCCAAACAGGATCAGATAAAATCTTATAAAGGAACAGGTCGACAAGGCAGCAAAAGAAACCTCCCTTTCATGTAGCCCCTCCCCCTGCTCCCGCTTCCTCCTGCTCCCACCACAGAAGACATGCCTGCTTCCCTTCCACCATGACTGAAAGTTCACTAAGGCCTCCCCAGCCATCTTCCTGTACAGCCTGCAGAACTGTGAGCCAATTAAACCTCTTTTCTTTATAAATCACCAAGTTTCAGATATTTCTTTACAGCAGTGTGAGAACAGACTAATACACTAATCATCACAGAAATGCAAATCAAAACCACAACGAGACACCATTTCACACCAGTCAGAATGGCTATTATTCAAAAGTTGAAAAACAGGGCTGCAGAGAAAAGGACACTTCTACACTGTTGACAGAACGCACATTAGTTCAGCCACTGTGGAAAGCAGTTTGGAAATTTCTCAAATAACTTAAAACAGAACTACCATTCTGCCAGCAATCCTATGATTGGGTATATATTCAAAAGAAAACAAACTGTCTTTCCAAAACGACACATGTACTCACGTGTTCACTGCACCTGTATTCACAATAGCAAAGACATGAAACCAACCTGGGTACCCATCAAGAGTGGACTGGATGAAGAAAATGTGGTACGTATGCACCACTGAATACTATGCAGCAAAACAAACACGAATGGAATCAGGTCTTTGGCCGCAGCATGGATGCAACTGGAAGCCACAGTCCCGTAACTGAATTAACACAGGAACAGAAAATCAAATACTGCATGTTCTCATTTACAAATGGGAGGTAAGCATTAGGTACTCCTGGATATAAGATAGCAACAATAGAAACGGGATGACAGGAGAGGGAGGGAGGCAGGCAGGCAGGGGCTGAAAAACTAACTACTGGGTATGCTATGCTCGTGTGGTAGGTGACAAGATAATCTGTAAATCAAACCTCAGCATCATGCAATATACCCAGGTAAAACACCTGCACATGTGCTCCTTTGGATGTAAAATAAAAGGTTAAAAATAAATAAATGATAAATAAAAAATGTGCTGCAAAATAAAAGCCTCCCTTTCCTCTGCCCCTCTCCTTATCACCCCCGCAATCCAACCCCAGTATCCCCCCACCGAAAAAGCTTCATTGTTACAACAAAAAGCCTACAGGTAGGCGCCATCCTTACCTCCATCTCTGGCTCAACTCAAACCACCTCCCATCCCTCTTCCCATACCTCACTCCAAGTAAATTATTCAGTTTCCCCTGAAGCTAACCACCTCTTTACCCAGCCCCTACACAATACCTCCTCTCCTGCTCTCAAACATGGAAACCTCTTCCCTAGACAGGAGTTCTCTCCTCCTCACTCTGGGTTGCTAAAGCTGGACCATGTTCCTCCAAACAAGAACCTACACACTCCAGCACCTATTCGCAATCCACCTGTCTGTTTACATGAACACCGCAGGCATCTTTTGCGGATCTGCACCTACTTCTGTCTCCCTACCAACTGGATAGGCACTTGCATCCTCGTCTGCCTTAGCCCCAGCATTCATCTTGTCCCTCCAAACCAAGGACTCCCTGTCCCTGCTACACTGGCCCACCCACAAACAACAGTACAATTCATTCCCTTATTAGTAGCCCCTGGACTCATAGCTAGTATCAGGTTAAAAGCTGGAAGCCTAAGAACCTCATTATCATATTTCCAGTTACTCTCCCCAAAATTGGAATCATCACTAAAAAAAAAAAAAAAAAAGAAATAGCAAACTCTATCACTCACCTCCAAAACCAACTAGACTCTAACATCAGTCACCCTACAAAAACTGCAGAGGCCTAGATCTCCTCACTGCTGAAAAAGGAAGTCTGTGCCTCCTTTTAAATAGACAATGCTCTTTATACCTCAATACATCTAGGTTAGTACAAAATACTATCAAAAGGCTCAAAGACCAAAACCAAAAAATAAAACAATAAAAACATTTGTCTGCCTGGCCCAGTTGGTTTCTTAGCTCCTGGGCCCCTTGGCTGCTTCCTCTCCTCTGCCCTGCTATAATTCTGCCCCCCCCCCACCCTTTGTCCTTTGGCCCTTACGTCTTAAGCCTTTTTACCCAGTTTTTGCAGAATCAGAAAATATAATAGTCTTCCAGGACCGCAAACTTGCAAGCCAGCCTCTCCCCAACCAGCATCCCTACTCAGCATGAAGCAGCCAGAAACAAATGCACCCCTTTTTCCTTTTTTTAATATATATAACAAAAGGTTAGAATGTTAGGGTCACAGCAAGGCAAGCCCATAGTCCCCTTCCCTGTACTCCCCTGCTAAGCCAAGCTCATTAAAAAACAGCCCCAAGGCTTGTAACAGGTCACCTAGGTTCCAGGATGTGATTGTACCTGGCTTTCAAACCCAGGATGTCAACCCTGTTAAGCAGCATGTCATCCCCTGAGAACCAAGATGCAGTGTTTCTTAGAATAGCACCCAGCTACCCGCAAACCCGCTATATAACCCCTATAGGCTATAAGCCAGGCTGCAGCCTTCACTGTCTGTGGTGAGGCTGCCAGCCTGGCAGGTCGAAATCACTTGGTAAACCTGACCCTGGGTCTGCCTCTCTATCCTTTTGGTCAACCATACGCAGCTCCCTTTTTCAGGGGAATGAGCAGTTCTGTCTTGTTGGCATTCCAGGCACCACTAGGGTATGAGAAAAAAAAAAACTGCTGTGGCTAAAATGGTCACCCAGTCTTGTGCTGGAAACCCAGGGCACTGGTTTGTAGGCACTGAAGGAAATCTCCTGGTCTGCGGGTTGTGAAGACCACGAAAAGCACAATATCTGAGCCACATTACGGGAGTGGTGGGAAAAGTCCCTAATGGCGTCCCTTGTCTAGGAGAGGGAGTTCTCTGGCTTCCTGCACATCCCGAGTGAGGTGATGCCCCACCTTGCTTGGGCTCACCCTCCTTGGGCTGCACCCACTTTCTAACCAGTCCCAATGAGATGAACCTGGTACCTAAGTTGGAAATATGGAAATCACTCGCCTTATCCATCGCTCTCTCTGGGAAGAGCAGACTGGAGCTGTTCCTATTTGGCCATCTTGGTGGAAATCCAATAATGCTTTTCATCTTTAAAAATAAATGTTTTTATCTTTATCTGGAATTTGTTTTGTAGACCACTTTAAATATGGATCTTATATTTTTTTCTCAGATGGTTACCCAGTTGCCTCCAGCTGTTTCTTCAGGTACAGAAAATGTTACATCTAATATGCATTTATCTCTAGTTTATCTTCAGATTCTTTTGACCTCCACTGATATTTCTTTTATCTATATTATTTTCAGTATCATGTCCTATTCATCACTATAGCTTTATAGTATATTTTGATGTCTAACAAGACATGTCCCCATCATTTTTCCAAAAATTGATTTATTCTTATACATTTTCTATTCTGCAATAATTTCAGAATCAATTTGTTAGGTTCCATAGAAATGGGATTAGGATTGCACTGAACTAATTTATGAATAATTTATTGAGACTTCTCAACTGTAAACATAGCATACTTATTTTATCAAATCTTCAGTAAATGTTAGGGTTTTCTGCATATTCATATTAGAAAACTTTATTTTGTAACTATCACTAGTGGATGGGTGGGTGGGTGGTTGGTTGGATGGATGGATGGATGGATAGATGAATGTTAGATAGGAAGATAGAATCTGTCATGTTGCTGAATTTTCTTAGAGTTCAAATAGAAAATTAAAGGAAGACTGCCTGACAAACTACTTAGATTTTTACATAAATCCAAATGATATTGATAGTATCTCTTTCTTTTTAGTGGTCATTACTTATTTTCTAGGTCTTACTGCATTATCCAGGACCTCCATTATAATGTTGAATAGTAGCGATCATAACAGCCATACTTCTTTTGCTCTGGATTTTAATAGGAATGCTTCAAATATTTCAACATTAAGTGATATGTGTGCTAAAGGGACGTAAGTGCTTATATAGTTTGTATCCCACAAGTAAAAGCAAACTTTTGCATCTTTGTGAAGCAGCTTCAATCTCACAGACAGTATTGGAAAAGACTTAATTTTGGAAGGTTTCCTAATCTTCAGTCACAATTTTTTAAGGAGTCCCCAAGAGCATCTTGTGAAGAGAGCCCTAGTTAACATTTTCTGTCACTCTTTAATGTCCCACATTGTTTCCTATTAACCCAAGGACAAATAAAAATTCCTCACCTTTGATTAGAATCCAGCAGAACTGGTCTTACATGTGTCAATTCTGTCTCAATTCTGTCACCACTCACCTCTGCTCAACACAGTCATTCCTTCCCAAAGTACCTGGAGGTCATCACTGCAACAGCCTGTCAAGGCAGCACCACTCCTAGGCCCCTGAAAATCACTCTTTACTAATGTAATAACTCTTAATTTGGGGCATTTTAAAATAACTCTCCTGACGTACATCCTAATGGACCTAATGGTTTTCTGGTTAGGACCTCTACTGTCCAGAGCTCATGATTCGAGGCAGTTAGCATTGATGGTACATGACCTACTGTTTCAGAGGTTGTCTATCAGGATAAATTATTCTGCCTGCACATGGATAGTGTCATTTACTGTAAGCCTAGTACTTGACTACAGTATTTTTTTAGTGAATAACAAAGGCATAAAAGATACTGGCTTTTTCCTACAATTTTTTTTTACAATCACTCACATTGTAATTGATTCACAAATATAAACAAGACCTGTTTCCACATCTGAAAAATTCTTCTTGGAGGAGGGGCATTCTTAAATTAGGTCCTAAGGGACATAACAGGCATAGTATAGAAGGTCTAGAAATATTTTTTGTTTTGGATTAATGCAACATCATCAGTAGGCCCATCTTGGCTGCAGTCAGAATTGGGATACATATTATTGCACGTCTCTCTATACTGAAGCCCTCTCTTCATAACTAGACACTAAGTCACCATCATCTCCTTTTCACTCATAGTCTGACAAGTGCCAAGCCTGCCTTATGTATCTCCATAGGAAGTCCATTCTTATAACCACATTTACCTCTACCTGGAGTCTTGTAAGTATTTATCCCCATCTGGAGTATCCCAATCTAAGTGGCCTCCACACCTTCAATATCTCATCCCCCAGTCAATTATATCATTGTGATATCTACCATCATGATCTTACCGAGAAGCTTCAAACATGCCAATCCTATCCTCGGAAATATAATGGTTCCCCATTGCCTACAAACTTAAGTCCAGACTTTCTACACTAATGTTTAAGATCTCGGATGACTTTTCCTACCTCTTTACCAAGCAGTAGGTTTTCTATAATCCAACCACATATAACTGTGCAACCTAAGTCCTTACCTTTGCTTATACTGTTAGATCTCCTGGAATATCTTCCTCTCTTCTTCTTATTCCAGGGCCTTAGTCCAGTATCAAAAAATTTCCTGCATTATTTCCATCTCTCATTCATTCTGTCTTCCTCTGGATTTTTCAGTCCTCCTAAACTATGTGTGGCAATTAAATCACACTGTTGTTTTATATATATGTAGCCATTTTTTACCCTTCTCTACTAGATTGTAAATCTTCTGAATAAGATATTGTGGCCCACATCATTGCTATATTTTTCTTAAGATGATGACAGTGCCTAGAACATAGGAGGTACTTTGTGAATTTCTTCCACATTGAATAGATCATGCAAATAAACTGAGATAACGAAAAATTATAAGTCTAGCCTTGATTGGAGTAATTTCTTTTCACAATATTTTGCATTTATGGCCCAAAAGAGTACATATAAGCCAGCTTTAGTCACTGAATAAACCAAAGTAGCAACTGTCAACTTTTTATTCTCTTCCTTAGAATATTTACAATATTGCCCTACTCACTTGCTGTTAAATACCAAGTGGGAAATGGTTAAAACAGATTTCTGAGCCTATTGATTTTCTTCACACATTTATGAGCAAAAAGTTAGAAAGAAATTTACAGCAGAAGTGCATTTAGAGAAGGCTAAGAGCAGCAG